ACGTTGGTCTTTATGTGAGGATGAGAATATAGACCAATTTAGAGTGTATATATTGAGTTTGTAGCCATGAACGTGAAAGAGCTTTTTGAATCATATTCTGTAGCAAAAAGGCTGCTTTGATGCTTGTTGAGTGAAAAAAAAAAAACAAAAGGTGGTTCTTCAGGAGAAGAACGTATTACTTTCGGGAGAAAGTTTTCAAAGATGAGTGGTGCTCGCTGGACAAGGCCACTAAGAGGATTCTCCACAGCGGCGACAACATCAAGGACGGAGTCTTTGAGTGTGTAGGACTGATTGGTGTTTGTAATCTCTTTATCTTAGTAGATTATTCACTGACTGGGCGTGGCCCCGCAGAGTAGGTGTGCACACCGAACTGTGATACCATTTTTGTGTGTTCTTTATACTTTCTATTATTTTATTGCACTCACAATCACTGGAACTGAATTAAAAGAAAAAAAATGATTTGTCTACACTTTTACTATCATCAGTGTCACAACCAGTATTGCAACACCACTTGTGACACTAGGATAAAAACAGACCTAACAATTGGTATCAGGGCGGTTCACTAACCGTTTGCTTGGTGAGATTTTGGGAGTTGGTCTACTGTAACAGGGATGGATTTTCTGAAAGAAGGTGGTTCGGTTTCACGCGCTCCTATCCTCGATGGTTGCAACTTTTCTGATTGGAAAGCTCGTATGAAGGCGTTCGTCAAAGCACTTGATGAGAAAGCATGGCGTGCTGTGTTACAGCCCATTACCAAAAATGAGGCTGGAGAATAAGTTATGAAACCCGAAGAGAAATAGTCTACTGAAGAAGATCTATTGGCGAATAGCAATTCTAGAGCACTTAATGCCATCTTCAACAGGGTGGATGCCAATCAATTCAAACTCATTTCTACATCTGAGTCGGTTAAGGAGGCTTGGGAAATTCTACAAACGGCGCATGAGGGCACGACAGCCATGAGACTATCAAAGCTTCAAATTCTCACTACTAGGTTTGAAAACTTACGCATGCTTGAAGATGAAACAATTTCTGATTTCAATTCAAAATTGTCTGATATTGCTAATGAGGCATTTGCCCTTAGAGAGAAAAAATCAAAGGAGAAGCTTGTGAGGAACATAGAGGTTTACATTGTCGTCTTGCTAATTTCTTAGCAGAACAATGGAACTTCTAAAAACTTCAGGGTAGGAGCCAACTTGCATAATATTATATATCGATATAATTATCAATATCTTTCTGTGCTGATTGTTCAGCAATTAATATGATATTTCAATTTGACATAAACTTTTGTTATCATTTAATCCACTGCAATTCCTGAACATATAGAGGGAAAATGTTGCTTATTAAGCAACTATTGATCTATGCTTGAAAAAGCAACACATCTTATTAACTTTGGTTAACTAGCTTGAAAAGGCAACGTATCTTAATCTATTACTAAAAAGTTGGTCATTGATCGAGCTAAACCTTATCTTTTTTTTAACTTAATCTATGACTTCTTCCTGTTGGAAGGTGTAAGGTCTGTTTTTACAACAAGTGTTACGAAGAGTTACGAAGAGTGTTAGAACACTTTCAGTAACAATGATGATTAATAATTATTTCTGAATTTAGCAACAAATAACTAAACGTGCAGAAAATAGTGCTAAAAATATAAAGAACACTAAAAAATAATATCGTAGTTCTGTGCTCACACATACATCTGTAGGGCAATGCCCAGACAGTGAACAATCCACTAAGATAAAATGATTACAAACATCACTCCTTGATGATCTCACTGTTGTGAAGAATCCTCTTAGCAGTCTTGTCCAGCGAGCACCACTCAACTTCGAACGGTGTGACGAACTCCCTTCAACTGGCAGTGTGCTTCTTCCCGAAGCTTCTAATCCTTCTCTCGAAGGACAATCGTAATTACATATAAAGCTCACAATCTCACAGACTATATTCTGAATATTTTTTCTGAAATCCTCTCAAATATTTTCTATGTAATCTCTCTTGAATAGCCGCATTGAAGAGTAAATTATGAATAATATCAATACATTTGAAGTATGTGATTGTTCCTTAATTTAGTTAGTTCCTGGTGACTCTTAACAAGTTACATATTTGATGACTTTAAAACACTTAGATATTGAGTTTAAGCAAAATAAATCATCAAGTTACTAATATCAAGACACTTGGATATTGACTTTAAGACACTTAGATATTAGTAATATATTAGATTTATTTTATTTTCCGATTGGATGGTTGATTAATAGATATTAAGTTTCTAGTTCTTTATTTTAGTGTAATACCCAATAAAATGTAGGCACCACCATATTACATGTAACTTGTTTTAATGTTTCTGTATTACGCCAACAAGTTACAAGTTCATATAAAAATAATATTACATGTGTTGTACCGTAAGGCCGGACATAAGACCATGCTTATATAACACTAATGAAAATATAATACCATGCTTATAACACTAAGGAAAAGGTGATACTGCAGAAAGACTAGACCGTGGAGCTCACCGAGCAAACTTCCTGATGGAGTTCATAAAGTCGAAACCCCCAGTATTTATGAAGGATCTTCAGATCGAATCTGAAGCTGCTAAGACATGGCTGAGAGTGATAAAAAAGTTGTGAAGTTTTGAAAGTTCCACAGGAATACCGAGTTCATAAAGTTAAAACTCTCAGGCTCGTTATTTCGTATACTCAAACTCAAATTATTAATTCTGATAGATTATTTTCTTTTCACAAAAAATGTAAATTTCAAACGCAGAATCAAGAATCATGGTTTAAGTAAACGGCCTCAATATTTGAAGGATCATCATAATCTAAAGCTGCTAAGTGATGGTTGAGAGAGGTGAAAAAGAAGTTTGGAGTTTTGGGAATATCGAGTTAGATTTGCCACTTATTTGTTCGAATGATTAGCCGAGGAATGGTGGGACTCGCAAATGAATGATTACAATGGGCCAACCCACAAGAAAAATGTTCAAATATGTCTTACCAAACAAACCTCTATCATCTGAAAAAAATAAAATAAAATAAAAACACACTTCAATTTTATTATTGTCTTCTTTTTCCACATGTGAAAGACTCATCTGCCTTCTTTTTTTTTTTGTTGGAATTGCCATCTGTCTTCTTTGTCCACATGTGAAACAGACCCATACACTACAAGTTATCTTTCTATAACTTACACGTTATTTTTTGTAACCTACAGATTATCACTCTATATCTTACAGGTTATTTTTTATAGTCATTAAAATGTTGTGTAGTGGTATAAATAATAGAGTTTGAAAAATAATGGGTTAAACTTAAAATTTTATAGGAAAACAAAACCGATTGGAATTTTTTTAATTCTTTTTTTAATTTTAATTTTTTTTGTTTCATTATATTTTTTCTTTGATAATGCATTGCCGATTAAATAGCCTATTTCTTTTGCGTGTGATTAACGTTGTTGCTTTCAGCAAAGAGTAGGCTAATATTCATGGACTTAATGCACTTGAAATGAACAGTTATGGAGTGGTCAAGCTGATATAACTAAAAGGACTTTGTGTAGAATAACTAGCTTGACAGAGTAACATGTATTGATCTATTGCTAAAAAGTTGGTCATTGAGCTATATTGAAAAATCTTCTCTTTTTTTTTTCAGGAAATTTTCTCTTCTTTCTATTCTTATTAGGAACATGAATATAGGAACTTTAACGATTTAGAAAATGATTAATATAGTTTAAGTACTGATTTACTACTGCCAGCTTTATAATCAGGTTCATCATTTTGTAAATAAATATAATAGATTATAAACGTGTATGTGTGTGTGTGTGTGTATTTATATTACTATCAATATTGTATAAGATAAAATCTATAATTAGTTGATTTATCTAAGGACGACGAATGAATGAGTTAGGAGTCGCCAAATAAATTAATCGTGATGCTGTGATAAAATAGATATGTTGCCCAAGCCACGAGCACTCATACGATGAGTGTGTTTCGGGTTGCTCAATCGTTGTGCTTGGATATTCAATCTTTGATTTCCCGTTTTTGGTTGGGAGGAATGAGTCGGATAAGAAAATCCATTGGATGAGCTGGGAGAGGTTGTGTAAGGCTAAGCTTGAGGGTGGTATGGGGTTCCGGGACATTTTGGCCTTAAATCAAGCTTTGCTTGCTGAACAATGCTGGAGGATCGTCCGATGCCCGAATTCACTTGTAGCCCGGATTTTTAAGGCAAAATATTTCGCTAATGGGTCTTTGTTTGATGCTTGTCCGGGACACAATCCATCTTATACTTAGAGGAGCTTGTTGTGGGGTCAGGCTCTCCACGAATTTGGTTGGCAGTCTGTTCTTGCCCGTTGATCAGGAGGTGATCCTAAGTATTCCTTTGAGTAGTGGTGGACGTGAGGATTGGTGGATTTGGCACTTCGATTCGAAGGGAGCCTATTCGGTTCGCTCGGGTTATAAGTGATCAGCAATGGAAATTAAGGATGAAATTGGTGGATCGGGGCGATAGAGATAGGTGGATTAAATTGTGGGGTCTTAACATCCAAAATAAGTTGAAGAATTTCATGTGAAGGGCTGTTAACGACATCCTACCTTGCCGAACGAATTTAGTAAGAAGGGGGGGTGGAGACAAACTGGCATGCTTTGTGGGAATGTTCTCATGCTTTTGCAAAAGTTTCACTAAAATTAAGGCAGCGTGTTTCGAGTCTCTTGGGCGTCGCGATCGGACTTGGAAATTTTCGGCATTATTGCTTGGGCGCTTTGGTCAAATGGTTCCTTTATTTGTAGCTCCTTATGTCTTGGCTGATTTGGCCTAATCTATAATATGCAGCTTTCTTTCGAAAAACAAAAAAACAAAAAAAAAAGAACCACAAAAAGAGAAGATGTGATGACTCTGTTATAGTACTTATTGAACATCCATTTGAACAAGTTAAGCATAAAGTAGACTGGAACTCTACTTGGATGTGTTGTAACTAAATGTATGTATATATATTGTTGATATATATATATATATTGAGAGCTTGTATCAAGATTATAGGTAAAAGTAAAATTATAACGAGGACCTTAACACAGTGTTTCTCTTGCTCTGTGCGCATAAGCAGGGAAGCTTATGTCACATTTTATGCAGCAATAAAGTATGTTTGGAAAGTACAATCCCTGTATTCTATTAAATATGTTATAATGCTAACACATATCACTTACACACTGTTTAAGTTACAATGAGATATTCTAATAGAGAGGCACAAGGCATAAAAGGGAAGCCAAAACAACGGACTTTAACATAAGAGAAGATGGTATGCAGCCCTTGTCGCGGCGGATGAAGAGCGCTTGGTAAACCGGAAAATTGACTACAACTATTATCCCACACAGAACAATCTGCAAAATCAATTGTTCTAGAGCCTTGGAATCGAAATCCATGAGAATCTTCATGATTCCACCAACCAAAGTGAACAAGTTAAGCAGTGCCAATGTTGCCAATATGGTGAACATCAAACTCGAGCTTCCAAATTCCATGATCTCTTGCTCATACCTCTTTGAGACATCTTCTGTGACAACTTTGTCAGTGAGGGCAAATGTTGTTTCGGATAAGCCTAATTTCCTCTTGATGATGTCCAGGAAAGCGATGAAGTATGAACTAGTCCTTCGAATCAACCACATTCGCTGCAAGTTCCACCAACCTTTCAGCGTACTACCACAATTCATGGCTTCCAATGCGCTGAAAACGTTCTTTGCTACGAAAACATAAGCGAAGGGCAGGAACCATGGACTTGACACCTGAAATGTCCAATGATAAAATTGTCAAACTGACCAGACTACATTTCTCTCATCTAAAAATATCTAAATATTATTTGAAGGTTAATATTCTAGAAGTACCTTCTAGAATTTCGGCATATTGTAGTCTAAATTAGATAATTAGATCAAAGCCCAATAACTAAAATTTCAAACTCAATTAACATTAAGGCCCAAAATAAGTTTAACTTCCAAGATAGTATTTAGTTAGTGATTTAGAATTACTAAGTCTAGTCGGGTTTATTGTTTCCTATTATAGTTAGAACTATCTATCTTTCAGTATTCTATTGTTAATAAATCTTCTATCTTTCAGGCTTCAAAGTGGGTGAATGGCCATTCTTTTTGAATAATCATTCATTTCTTATAAATCCAACCAAACATTAAACTAAAATTCCATTTCATTCTATTTCATTCCTTTCCACCCAAGCAAACACACCCTTAATGTAAAGCGTTTTGCCTCTCCTTCAGATATTCTTTTGTTTTCTCCTACATTCCATCCATAATGTGACAAATATGCAGTGAGAAATAAAGTCGGATTTGGATCGACATACCTCCGGGAATAAAGAAATTCCTTTGAGCAGGCAAAGAGAAGGAACAATCACATAAAACAAAACTGGCAAGGAAATTGGAGCCCACAGCAAATATATGGAGTACCCCATCTGAGCACCTAATTTGATCCTTCCATGCCCATATATGAAGGGACAATACTTGGACAAAAATATCTGAGACATGCCTTCCGACCACCTTTTGTGCTGCACAAGACTGACTTCTAGGGTTGTCGGCGCGACGCCCAAAAAGGCTTTCCTCTCTGCATTGTAGTGAACTGATTTCCATCCCCTGCATTGGATTGCCAATCCAGTAACAATATCTTCAACAGGACAACCATACATCAATCCCATCTGCACATATTTAAGAAAATGCATGTCACCACTTGAACTAAGATTTCAAAAAAGGCGGTGAGGGATGGGAAAGGAAAGGGAAAAAAAATGAATTAGAAAATGAATGTCACCACAATTCAAACATTTAGTTTCAGCATTAAACTCAAAAATATTTGATTTTTCTGTTGAAACTTTAAAAAAAAACAAAAAAACAAAAAAAAAAAAAACAAAACAAAACTATGAACTGAACGGCCTAAGGCATAGAGAATTTACCTCTTTCCCCCATTGTGTACCCTTCTCATAGCAACAACTAGCAAGTACTTTTGATGATTTTTCCAAATCATTAACACTTTTTCCCTCGTTCCTTTTGGCCTCTGTGTTCCATTGGAATCTATTACCCTTGGAATACTTCTCTCCACTAAGACTTTCTCTCCGATGGAAGCATCCGGTGCCGCAGTACAAAGCTGCACCATATCCACCCACTCCAGCAAGCTCAACCTTTAAAGGAAGAATGAAAAATCAAAACTTATTTTCAGTACCCCGTGATAAAAGGATCCACCACTTCTAGTTAGGAAAACAAAGGCCAATATATTTTCAGCCGTTGTATTTTTTTTTTTATATATATATACATGTAAACAATGAGAGAAGACAACTGACGTCAAAAGTATGTAATAGTATATTTTCTGTTACTGAACCACCTCATTAGCTGCAGCACAAACATTAGCATAAACATCATTCTTGGTCGTGTTGTTATAGTACTGCGGAAATTGAACGAAGGCGAACTCATCGCCTTTCTTCTCGTCCATAAAAAAGCATAATATCTCTTGGATTGTGTCAGCATTGTTCGAGTACATGTCGCAGTCCAAGTTGAGAATGAAGGGTGCATTGGTTATCTCTGATGATACCCTTATCTGTACATGATATGCAAATATATTTTCAAAGTTAATACCAATTTTTCCACTAAAACTTCTCATCTTTTCATTATTTTTCATGGGAGATTTTCTGGTACGCTTGGTGTACCCGTGGGTTATATTTTTTCAACCGTTAGATCTGCTTACTTTTTGACTTTTACGTGATTTTATATATATCCGATGGATAAAAAACCTGACATACCGATATGTTGGCATACCAGAAAAGGTCTCATTTTTCATATGCAACTAAAAGAATTTTTCTAATTATGCTAAAATGAGTCATTTTAGCTGAATGTGTGTACCAGGGCATTCATAGCTCCAGCTTTGAAGTTGTGAGGCCAATTTGGTCTTTTTTCTCGTGCCATGTACACCAATGTTGGCAAGCGGCTTCCTTCATTGTTCACTTCACTTGTGTCCCTTCCATCGATTAAAATCTGTTAAACAACAAATGAGAAAAGTGTCAAGAATCTAATAATGAAAAGTGTCAAACAGAGGGAGACAAAAAAAAACAAAAATTAATCAAACAATACCTGCACAATTGGTTGATGATCATTCTTTTTTATGTTGAGGTTCCATTCTGAGAATCCTTTGTGTTGCTTCCTTGCTTCTTCCGGAACTTTCCCAGCTTCAACCGCTAACTCAATCCGGTTTTTCATATCTTCATACAATTTCTTTTCAGAACATACAAAAACAATCCATTAATTGGTTTTTGTCATGGTCACTATTCCAGCTTAAGAATATATAATGCACAAATTGCATATTAATTGCTTCATAAAAAAATGAAAAAAAAAATCTCCATTTCATCCACTTAATTGATAATTCCAATAAAAGCTCAACCCAAATTAAATCAATGTGTCAAAAACTAATTGGATGGTAAAGAGTAAGGTATACAAATAAATTAGATACATGAAAAGAAGATTTGAATGCTCTCTTCAAATTTTTGTTTCCCAAATGATACCTGACTAACTAAATTATACTATGCCGTTTGGTAGACTGAAAAACACAGAAGTTTTTTTTTTTTTAAAAAAAAGATTTCTAAATTTTTTAATTATTATGGCAAAATAATTTGGTTGGTTAAATGCCATTCTGGGACCAAAATTAGCAAGTGAATTTGAATCCATATGAAAGAATAATCGAGGCTCTTTAGACCACAATTACTCTATATATATTAAATTTATCTAATAATTATACCTTGACATATCCTCTTAAAACACAAACCTTGGCTCAAAAGTCCTGTATGTATGTCCTTACCTTAATAACCAACCATTCCTGAGCAAATTTGTTATCTTGGAGTGAAGAAGAATAATGTTGGGAAAAGTAGGCCTCTGGTGCTCTTGGTTCAATATTAAACCTTTTGCAAAAAGGTATCCAACGCTTAGAGAAATGAGAAGCCTCTAAAAGAGAATAGAAAGTGAATTCAGAACCACCATCATCAGATACGTAAACACTCAACTTCTCAGGTGGATAATTGTAGGACATTGCTGATAAAACTGTGTTGATCACCAATGTTGGCGGCTCCATTATCGGGTCCGCGGTGCAAACAAATATGTCCATACCCGGTAACATGTTCTCATATCTGTTTCCATGCAATGAAAACATTGAAATATGGTACAACATCTATGACCTTAGGTCATGCATATGAACAATTTCTTTTAACTTTCATATCAAAAAAATAAAAAAAAAAACAGAAACAAAAAACAAAAGTAAACAAACAAGAACATAAAAATAAAACAAAACAAAACAAAAAGATTTGGGATTCTTTTTAATATTTGGGTAAAAGAAAAGAGAGTACCAACTTTTTGATAACTGATACGTTCTGATCGATATGATTATAATGAAATCTAACGATTACAAATATATAACACTAACATAGTACTATAGAAATATCCTAAAAAGATGTATACTTAAATAAATGCCTTTTCTAATCATTAAAAATTACAAATAATGTTTATAGCATGAATTTTTTAGGCTCTATGAAGTATGAACTGAGGACTCCAATACAAGGATGGGGTGAGTTATAGAGAAACACCGTTTCAGAAAGTTGAATTTTTAAACATACCACTTTTATAGAAAATTAAGTCATTGTATTCTTTTTTGCATGAAAATATATAATAGATGAATGACTATAATTGAAAAGTGATATACAATCTAATTAACACGCCTTATATGTGTTTCCTGTCGTTTATGTGATGAGCTCCTCGGAGCTCAATATTGCTGTTAGCTCATTCTGAAACTCAATTAGAAAAGGGCCATTTATAAGGAGCCTTAATAGGTCATATTTGTTTAATTCTTTTTCCTTTTTAAAAGCAATTGTTTCAAAATTAAAGTACCTAAATTACCCCAAACCTAAATATAAAACAAACCTTTCTTCATTTCTCATTCTTTTGTCTTATCTCCCGTCTCTTCACCGATTCAAATTTAGAATTGAAGTTTTGTTACAGTAAAAAGTTCTCAAAAACAGTCATATTAAATTTTTTTGTTACAGTAAAAAGCTCTCACATAAAATCACATCTCAACTCGAAATACAAACTCGAATCAGCGAAATGAACAGTTAAAGAAGAGTAATGTGAAATTTCATATAGAAGACCTTATATATATTTTTATATAGAGCTGATCAATTTCTGGCCACTTGAACATTAACAACCATGAATACTTTTATAAAGATATTTAATACGTGCATAGATATTGTGGGCCCACAAATAGAGATATTCTTTTTCTAAGCGAAAATGACTTGATTTATTAATCTAATAAATCTAAAGCTATATTTCAGCCAAAACATCAGAAAAACTAGAAACAGAGTACCTTAGACAGGAAATGTAACTAACAGAACCACAAGAAACTTGAGAAATGCTAAAGTAAATATCACCAACTATATTAGATTCCCACAAATAACTTATGTTTTTGAGATTGATTGATAGTTAACAAAAACAACTAGTTAGAGTCATTTCTCCGAGTGTATTTTCTTTTTTTATTTAAAAGAAATACGTGTTAAAGATATCAATTTTTATTGAGAAACGAAGTTACGTCTATGAAAAATATTAGACTTATCCTTTAAAAAAAATATTACACTACTTTTATCAATATCGAAAGATTACAAAACTAAAACATAATGGGAACGTAATAAGACGAACTTTTTTTTTTTTGTTTTTGGTGAAAGTGAATAAGACAACTCGAGTTACAACTTTATTTAAGTTCATGTTCTTTTAAGTTTTAACTTTATTCAACTGTATTTAACTTTATTCAATTTACAACTTTATTCAAAAAAATATTACACTACTTTTAGCAACAACCAAAAAAAAAAAATGGAACTGTCATCAATATCAAAAGACAACTTGAGTTTCAACTTTATTTAAATTCATATTTTTTTAAGTTTCAATTTTATTCAACTGTATTTAACTTTATTTAATTTACAACTTTATTCAAAAAAAAAATATTACACTACTTTTAGCAACAACCAAAAAAAAAAAAATGGAACTGTCATCAATATCGAAAGATTACAAAACTAAAACATTATAGGAACGAATACGACAAACTTTTTTTTCATTTTTTGTGAAAGTGAATAAGACAAACTTTGAGTAACGAGATTCATGACTTAATAGGGGTGGCTCAAGTCTCAACCAATAGGAATGACTGTACCAGAGTAAACGATTGGGGACTTGGGGTCATTTATCAAAGGGAAAATGAACAAATAAAAACAGGTGGGCGTGTAATTATCTGCTTTTGGCCAAGTCATTTGTGGATTGTGGTCGGTGAGATTTTTCTTTTTTTTTTTTTTTATAATTTGTTCGTTGAGATTTGCTTTTAAACATAATATATTCATATAATCACAAAATCTGCATTATGTTTCCTAATCAGAAAATTACATTTAATAATTAAAATCAAATCACAAAATCCACATTATTTCTTTAATCGGAAAACTATATTTAATAATTAATCTATAGACTCTAATATATTCACAAATGAATATTGGACTACAGATAAAAACTGAATCCGACGGTGAAAATGAATGCACAAAAACAAACACAAAAAACGAAAAGACTTAAAATTAATCAATTGAGACCAAAAGACTTAAAACACTAGGATTATGCAATGTTTTGAGCGGAAATTCATTGAATAAGAAGATGAAATTAAAGTTTTGAGCGCAAAATAATAATAATAACAATAATAATTTATTTAACGACATGATTGCATAAGGGTTAAGGCATTGTGCCAAGTATTCAGGTCAATCTACGAAAATCCTTCAAAAAATAATGAGGAAGAAAATCCTTCGTTTATTTATTTTATTACTTTTTTAAGAAGAGAAAATCTTTATATATGATTCATTGCATAAAAATACGTATGGAGGCGATAAGGACACGGCGACTTTGGGAAGTTCCTTAAAAAAATGGTTATATATATATATATATTATCTGTGTGGACCGAAGACCGAAAAGATAAATTAAACTAATATTTTATAGGAATGAAATAATTAATTACCCTTTTAAAAAGTTTCCTATCTCATATGCGTTGGACGAATAATATAAAACTATTTTAAAGCTAATATTATCATGTCAGATATACATGATAAACAAACGATTTCCATTATAAATCAAGGTATTCAAAACATATTTTTGTTCCATATACATACTCCACCTAATGTGCAATGAAGATTATAATAACTCATTGTTTATAACTAGTGATGCATCACCACATGAAACACCATAAAATGGTCACATATAATGGATCTCACACTAATATGAGATCAGATTAATTACTAACCATACGTGATTATAATTAAATCATTTTTCTAATTACAAGTGTAAAATTATCACAAAAGTATTGTTAAATTTTAGTGGATTTTAACGCCTCCCCTACCATATGTATGTTTCTTCTAATTTGAGTACTGTAACGAGCTAATAATTATTTTGCCTCCTTTTTCAATAAGATGCTTCTCAAAAACTGACTCAAACGCACTACACACACTCGCGCATATGTAAAAAGGTATTTCCTTTTTCCCAAAAAAAAAACAAAAAACAAAAAAAACAAAAAGAAGAAGGAGGAGTAGCATTTTTTTTTTTTTTTTTGGAGGAAAAAGGTTCAAAGTTATCATTGTATCTTTTCAGATATTTTCTAACCCAATAATTACTAAGTGAAACGACATAAGCTGGGGTGAATTGAGGTTTTCAGAACAATCGACTTTCTCAATGAGTTCCTTGTTTTATTATAAAAAAAAAAAATTCCTTGTTCACACTCTCTAGCTCCTCTTTCCTTTTGTTTTCAATACATAATTTTTGTCTTTTTTTTTTCCTTTTTTTTCTTTTTTAATACATAAAATATCATAATAATTAATAAGTAACCATTAAAAACCCGTTTCTTAATTTCATTATATTTATGGAACGACCTGAATTCTTACAATACACAGGTGTGTGAATAACCGGCGTGAGAGAAAGAATCATAATTAAGTTTTTTTACCTGTTTGAAAGCCTTTCTTTGAAAGGATAAAAGTGAATGAGACTCCATCGAACAGATTGAGTAATGATCCAGTACAATCCGAAACCTACTTCCGCCATGAACATTCCAATCCAAGCCCATCTTCTCCCTTCTGCAGGCTGATGATCATCATGATATCCAGTAGTTCTTGGAATAATGTTCTTCAATCTGTAAAACCATATCAAGCATATCCCCACCATTATTGTGCTCGCAAACACCCTATAAATGCCTCTGAACCTCGCTTCTCTCGTCTCAAACAATCTTACGGCCTCACCATTATTCTGCTCCTGCTTTCCCATCTCTCTCTCTCTCTCTCTCTCCTCGTGTTTATGCCACAAAATGACTAGTGCATAGGACATGTATATATAAGTGATTAGGAGTGTGGTGATCTAACTTTACACCTCAACTCGCTATATTATATGATAAAAGATTTAAAAAATTGATTTTTTTTATCGTAATATATAATAAAATAATTAGTCCCCCTATGATCATTATATTCCATGTACAGTACATGAGAACAAAAAAACATATCTATATAGTGATACCTTTTCAATATTAATTTTACGTTACATTTTTAACTTGTACATATTATGTTGGATAAATCGTCCATCCAAATGTACCCTATTAAAAGCTTATATATATGCATAAACGAGTCAGTTAATCTCAGATTTGGACTTAATTTTATTTTTTAAAATCTAATGTTTTTTGTAATATTCATATACACATATCCTTCAAAAGTTCATCTTATAGTTCCTTTAAATTTTGTTTTAATTATTAGCTCCTAGTACATTACATGAATTTCTAGCTTCATCATTATATTTACGTATAAATTTTTACTATAGTTCATCTGAATGGATGGTTTATGCAACGTAACATTTATAAGTGAAAAATATAACCTTACAGTTAGTAAACACATAAAAAAAAACAAAAAAACAAAAAAAAAACTGACGTTAAAGAGACTATAAAGGCTCTCTCGAGTTTATGTTACCAGCAACTAGCGCATATATATATATATATATATATAGAAGAACTCTTTTACTAAATAACACGAACAAAGACATTAAATAACACAAACAATAATAGGGTGGACCACAAATCCCGCTATGGTAATTATTTTCCATGTACAGTACATGAGAACAAAAAACCATATCTATAGGTTTCGCCGCCACTAGTAGTACTCGTCCATTCATTCAATTGTGGAGGCGAGATATTAATAGACCTTTTTTTTTTTTGTTAATTAATATACAATTGTAGGACACTGTGACTGTAAATGGAGTTTTGTTCGTATGGTCAACGTAATAATCATGTGGATCAAAAAATTCGTAGAATATAGTATATAAATATATAGCACTAAATATGATGGGAACCGTTTCTATCATACGTGATAGATTGAAAGTTGGCCTTTTGTGGCATGGATTTCGCAAAGCAAGATCGTCACGTTTCTTGACTTTTGTTATATTCAAAATTATAATTAATACCGGCCGGGGTGGTAAATTTAAATCACATTTGTGTCGACTCAAATTTTAGTGTCCGTCGAATTATTATTTAGTGACAGCGTCATTTACATCTCTATTGTCATAAAAAGTGACATGATTGTTGAACTCTATTAGAGTCAACTGCATCTAAAGAGTTTATGAATGGTTCTATCGCTTGACTTTTGACACACTTATTAGATGTTATTATGACTTGTTACGTCCCTAAACTTTGGTGTTAAATTAAATGGCTTCATCTAGTATGTATCGTTGTAATCAAGGGTAAAAAGATGGTTTAGAATTTTGTTATTTTTCTTAGAATGATTAAATAACAAGTGGCAAAAGGAGAAGTTAGAGTGAAAAAAGAAGGCAATATTTAGAGTGATCTTAGCATTTCTTCAGCTCTCTATAATTATAGCTGAGTTTAGTTATAAGGAATTGCGAATTTTAGCAGCAAGCTCTGTGAATTACAATCATATTTGTGGAAGTTTAAAAAAAATTAGGGTTAATATGATTCTTGAGTAGTTCTTGAGGTTTACTTTCAATCTCACTTTAGTTCCTGACCTTTTAAATGTCACACAGTTAGAACCTGAGGTTTTATTATGTTCTAGTTTCAGTCCTTTCATTAACTAGGTGTTAAAATTTGATAAAATATTCGTAAATTAAGAGCTAAAATTAGAAACAGTTAAAATTTTGAGACTATTTGTGGAAATTAATTTTTATTTTTTTGAATTATTTTTGTCCTTAAATTTTATATATTTCTAATTTTATTCCTTAATTTTATAAATTCGTCAAATATTTAACACTAAGATAACAAAAGGATTAAACCAAAATAAAATAAAATCTGATAGACTAATATGAGATGTTTTAAAAATCAAGAATTAAAATAATATGAGGGATAAAGTTAAAGACCATTTCTTAGATAAATTCAAATAATTATTACAGTAACAACTAATACGTCAAAAGATACAGTAGCCTGTTATAGGATGAGGGTCCCATACACGTTTTCTCTAATAATAGCGTGTATATCGAAATTATGGCCGAAGCAGTTTGGCTTTTCTGTAGCAAATGAGGAACAACTATAGCAATAATAGCAGTCATTTTTTAATGAAACTGATGGATAGACTAGAGACAATGCGTAGAGGTTTCACCCCACATTTCGGGGCACAACATTCTTGTTGGTCCTACTGGCTAGTGGATCATAACTTTGATATCATCTAAATATATAGTACATAAATATATAGCACTAAATATGATGGGAACCGTTTCTATCATGTAAGCGTACTTATAATTAGATGTTATTATGGCTTGTTACATACCTAAACTTGGAAGTATATGATCGTTTGATCTCCAATTTAATTTCGTGAACAAAAATTATTTGGATTTAAATTCTAGTGGCAATGGTGGGACCACATGAATTTTTGTCGAACTCCGAATATATAAAAATCTGATGTGCACAATGCACATGAATATTAATTTAAGGACAATTAGAAAAATTGTCTTGTAAAAGTTAGAAACATTGATTTTGGACTATTTAGGCAACCATTTGTTGATGAAGTCCCCCATTGGTTGAATTGACCAGATTCTTACAAGTAGCTAGCGATTAGTGATAACGATTATGGGGCAACTTGCTTAGCCTTACCCAATAGCAGTTCGATTGAAAAGAGTTGAAATATGTTTTCCAACAAAAATAAAATAAGATAGGATTATTATCACTAGTGCCTCATAAATTTTAGAGTCATTATTAGTTTGCTCCTTAAATTTTAAAAATTCTCACTTTGCTCCTTAAATTTTGAGTTGTTCTCACTTAATTCCTTATGTTTCAAACTCTATTAAATTCAGATGAAAAAAGGGTTAAGCGTTGTCGTGTGGTACTTATATGTTTGTTTCTAACAGAAATACTATGCAATTACATTACGTTCTTTTTTTAATCATTTTTTTTTTAACAAAAATTACAACAAAAAGCTATTACATCAGATCACCTTTGAAGCCCTTCAAACATGTACTAGGCACAAATCCTTTTTTTATTTTATATTTTACTAAATTTAAAAAAGGTTAAATTTATATTTTCCAATATTTGTTATTAATCACGAAAATTTCTCTATTTACCAATCAAGAACAAAGTGAATTACATAACAAAACTTTTAACTTAACTAATTTATTTTGTTGATTAAACCTTTCTTTTGTCGTTTTTGGTCAAAGATAATCAATATATTACACGATATTATTACAAGACATAATTTAGTAAAGTTGTTTGACGTTTGGAGATCGAAAAGATTAAGATGTACATGCACAACTTAACAAAAGCAGACAATATTTATTCATCAAGGAATCAGACAATATTTGTTTGATTTGTTAAGCAATAAAGAAAATACAAAAATGGGATGGCCGGCAAATATTCAAACCTAGTCCCACTAATCTCAAGAAGGTGATCATCAAACTTCAAAGCCATGTGGTTTGGCATTCTGTTTTTCAAAATCTTATTATATTTAGGCAATTTTTTTTTTTTTTTCTTTTTTTTTGTAATGGGCTCTAAAAAAAACTATAAAAAAGCTTTGTTTTTAATTGTTAGATTTATTCTGAAAATTGTCTGTCGATCAGATTTAATAGTTAGAAATTCATCGTACCTATACGGCCTCTGTACCGGAGAAAGTCCCTTGTATTTATTTGTTTCGATATAAACTTTGTTTGCTCCATTTCCATATTAACTCATCGTGCTCATCAATTTGCTGTAAGTTCCACAGACCTTTTAGCGTACTCCCGCAATTCATGGTTTCCATTGCACTGAAAACGTTCTTGGCTACGAAAACATAAGCAAAAGGCAGAAACCATGGAGTTGACACCTGAAGTGTACAATGATAAAATTGTGAAACCTAATTAAAAGCACAAAGGAAAAAAAAAAAAGAACTTTTAAGCGCAATATTTTTGTGTTTAAATGCAACTTTAATCACAACCTTGTAACTGAAATGTATTCAGTCGCAAATTTGCACTGTGACTAAAACTTTTTGCCCAAAGCTTTTTAGTCACGAAAACTTTTTGGTGTATTTCCATAAAAAATAATATGAATGCTACTTTATTTTCTTATTCTATTTATAATATATTTAAGTATTTTGCTTTGCCCTTTGCCTTAGAAAAACTTATAAATTTTAAAGTGTTATTATGGCTTCGTACGTTCCTAAACTTGTTTATTAGTGATGACTGTGTTTGATCTCCGATTTAATTTCGTGTACAAAAATTATTTGGATTTAAATTCTACTTGCCATGGTGGTACAAACATGAAATTTTAACAGTTTTCCAAAAATTATTGACCATATTATAACAACTAGTGATAAGTGACGACGATTATGGTGGAACTTGCTTGGCCTTTGCTCAATAGCAGTTTGAACTGAAAAGACTTGAAATATCATGTTTTCCTATAAAATAAAACAAAATAAGAAAAGAGTATAAAGACTTGAAATATCATGTTTTCTGTAAAAGAAAACAAAATAACAAAAGAGTTTAAATATTTGATATTGTTCTTATTATATCATATCATCTTTGGAGTACTCCAAGCAGCGTATTAAGAACAAATCCCTTTTTTATTTTTAATAGAGAAGGGTTAAGTTTCCAATATCTTTTAGGCATGGAATTTTCTTTAATTAGCAATCAAGAACAAAGTGAATTAGATAACAAAACTTTTTGACTTAATTAATTCAAATTGTTTATTAAGTCTTTCTTTTATTCTTTTTGGTTAGACGTGATCAATTACAAGACATTAGAATAAGACATAATTTATTGAAGTTGTTTTGACGTTTGGGGATCGAAAAGATTAAGATGTACAAGCACAATATAACAAAAGCAGACAATATAATTTATTCATTAAGGAATCAGACAATATTTGTTTTTTTTTTTTTTTGGAAAAATTATAGAGAAATAGAAAAGTAAGACGACCGGAGCATATTCAAACCTAGTCGTATTCAACAAGGTGGTCAAGCGTCTCCAAAGCCATGTGACTAGCTTTTTCTTTCTTTTTTTTTTTTCTCATAATCTGAAATTGCCTTATAATTCATTTGTTTTCTAATCTTCATTTCCTCCATTTCCATATTAAATATTTTGAGACATGCCCTGTAAATCCCATGTGAGATCCGAACTTATCATATCCAAAGAAGAGACAAAATTTTGATTATTATACATTTGTATATAATATACATATATATACATAAAATATATATACGTGTATGTTTGAATATATATATGTATATATGTATGCTTGTCAATAGAGAAGCGACATATGAAATGGGATCGTTGGCCTAAACTAATCACTTAGCTTTAATATCCACAGTTAATGTTTTATAAACGCCAATACTTGGCATAATATTTCAACAATTTGAATTAATTAAGTCAACCAAAAATTAAAAAAATAAAAAAATAATAAGCAAAAAGGAGAAAAAGAACCTAAGCATTGATCAATTCTTTTAGAGATGCAAGAACGGTCGGCCCGGCCTGGCCCGTTCTCCTTAGACCTATGCGGGCTACAGGCCGAACTAGCCCGTATAAGAATGACCTTAGCCCAGCCCACACCACGGGCAAATTTTACGTAGACTAGACTGGGCCGTACCGCGGGTCAACATTGATCAATTCTTTTAGAGATGCAAGAACAGTCGGCCCGGCCTGGCCCGTTCTCCTTAGACCTATGCGGGCTGCAGGCCAGACTAGCCCGTATAAGAATGGCCTTAGCCCAGCCCACACCACGGGCCAATTTTACGTAGGCTAGACTAGGCCGTACCACCGGTCAGCATGGGCTGTGCCAGCCCACTCAAAACACATCTTGACCCATCATGGGTTTAGATGGGCCAGCCCATCTAAGCATGTAATTTTCAATTTTTTATTTTTGAATTTTTAAACAAGTTAACAAATATATAAGTATGAATAGTCAATGGAAATATGAAAAGGGATATTTTATTTACGATTACCTCATCAAATAAAAATTTTTTTAAGAAAAACCGAGTGGGACAAAACTTTGGTAAGAAAAAAATAGTACAAGCAGGATAATTATACATAAGATGTATACAAAAGTACTAAAAAAAATGAAGATATTATGGGCCTAGATAGGCTGGGCTGGGCCGGCCCATTATGGGCCTAGACGGGCCGGGTTGTGCCGGCCCATCATGGCCTAGACGGGCCAGCCTAGCCCGGCCCAAGCTCGCCCTGGCCCATGATTTTCATGGGTCGTGTCAGGCCGGCTCATGGGCCCATATATGTTGGCTCAGCCCAGCCCACCAATATTTATGGGCTGGGACGTGCCTTAAACAATGACGGGCTGTACCAGCCCGGCCCGTCACTGTGTTAAGATGGACCTGGGCCGGCCCATTGTTGCATCTCTAAATTCTTGGCTACGAAAACATGGCTTCCAAAATGAAAAAAAAAAAGGTAAAAAGGACCGCAATCAAAAAATAAAAAATTTTTATGGTAAAATTAAAAAAAAAAAAAAAAAAAAAAGAAAGCTCAACCAAATTGACGTAGTTTTAGTTGAAAATGAATTGTACACTTTCAACCAAAACTACATCGTTTTGATTAAAAAGTGAACACTTCTTAGATATATATATATATATATATATATGTGTGTGTATGTATGTATGTGTATATTGCGTGTGTATATATATAAATATATATATTGCCCTTGTAATACGAGAGCAAACTCTATATTACTTCTCCATTGTTTTAATAGTTATAAGTCAATAACCTATGTGTAGATCCAAAAATGTAATGAAAAATGTTACACTACGCCAAAAGTCTAAGACGAAGTGTCCCAATACTCATAGTACATGAATTAACAGTGTTAAGAACACAAAACAAAAACATGAGATTATACACATCAATAAGTTTAATTTGTAATCTATTAGTTGAATACTACGCAACTGTTAAATTAATATTATTCCCTTAATTAGTTCGAATAATCCTTTTAAGAGAAAAGGTTATCAGAACGATTGTTGTAATCTCTGTACGCCTCAATTAGGGGAAGCTAGCTCTATGGGAAACAAACAATTTTGAAAGCAAAATACGTTGAAATGCTAGCACATACATCACTATTGTACATTGTATATGTTTCATTGAAATATTCTAATATGAATAATGTTAGAAATACCAATTTTAATCCTGACTTTTATACCAATTGATCATGAGTTGTCATTTCTCTACTTGTAGATAATTAAAAGACTGTCACAACAATAGATTACACTTACGAGTAAAATAATGATAACTAATGAATTAGTACAAATGTTGGGATGAAAATTGGTGTCTATCACATTATCCAATCTAATATATAGGCATAAGAAATAAGAGAGAAGCCAAAACAACAGACTTTAACATAACAGAAGATGGTATGCAACCCTTGTCGCGGCGAACGAAGAGCGCTTGGTAAACCGGCAAATTGAGCAAAACTATTATCCCGCAAAGAACAATCTGCAAAATTAGCTGTTCTAGAGCCTTGAAATCAAAATCCATGAGAATCTTTATGATTCCACCAACTAATGCGAACAAGTTGAGCAGTGCTAATGTTGCTATCATGGTGAACATTATACTAGAGCTTCCGAATTCGATGATCTCCTGCTCAAACCTCTTTGAGACATCTTCTGTGAAAGCTTTGTTAGTGAGAGCAAATGTTGTTTCAGATAAGCCTAATTTCCCCTTGATAACGTCTAGAAGGGATATAAAATATGAAGTGGTCCTTTGAATCAACCACATTCGCTGTAAGTTCCACCAACCTTTTAGCGTACTCCCACAATTCATGGCTTCGAATGCACTGATCACATTTTTGGCTACGAAAACATAAGCAAAAGGCAGAAACCATGGACTTGACACCTGAAACATACAATGATAAAATTGTGAATCTCACTTAACTAAAAGCAGAAAGAAAAAAAAAAAGAACTTTTATGCGCAATATTTTTGTGTGACTAAATGCACTTTTAGTCACAACCTTGTGACTAAAACGTACTTAGTTGCAAATTTGCACTGTGACCAGAACTTTTTGCCATAAGCGTTTTAGTCACGAAAACCTTTTCGTGTGACTAAAACTTTTTCCCGCGACTGAAAGCTCATGCTAAAACTTTGTCATAGGAGGGCGCCTAAATTTGCATCTAGCTCGGCACTAGGTTGAAGCTATTTTCAAATCTTTTAGTTCTTGATCATGGAATTGGTTCCCTATGTTCATGCCAATATAGGTAACATGATAGTGCAAATACATGTGTGTGTATATATTATTTATGTTTACACATGTATGTATGTGTTTATATTGAGGAATGCTATCTGCAGTCCAGAGTAGTACTGGTGCAGGATCTAGGCTGCTCATTGTAGTGCATCCCATCGCGGGGTCCACAAGAATCTGATAAGGATAATAAGCCGTTATTAAAGCAGGTGTATGTGACGAGAGGTAATAAAGTGTGACGTGGACTTATTAGTATTGTTAGTGTTAGTATTGTGGTTTGTGTACAGTGCGGGGGGGGGGGGACTTACCGTGTGTATTGTAGAGAGGTATAAATAAGCCATAGTTGGATTAATGAGGCAGGAAATAACTGGAGTTGTAAAAGGAAGACTTGGCTAAGGCTGAGTAGGGAAAAGGGAGACCTTCGGTAGTCTATAATTCTCTCTGTGATCAATAAAGATTTCTTCTTTCATTCTTTTGATCATTTCAGGCATAAGAATTGCATTGTTCTTATCATTTTGGTATCAGAGCGTTGATTCTGGCAGAAAATGGCGGCTAGGAAAATAGATGAGAGGTTCGAGTTAGTGGAGAAAGAGATCAAGGAAGTTAGGGTTTCCATGGAGAAGGGAATGGGCGACATGGAGAAAGGTCTCAGAGAAGTTAGGGCGGAATTGTCTCAGAATAGGACAGATATGTCCGAGATTCGCCAGTTAATGGAGGAACAGATGAAACTCCTTTCATCGGCCACGTCGGTGCCGGAGAAGACGGTTGCGACTACCGCCGGAATGGATCACGGACTAAATCGTGCCGGAGAAGGTCGCGAGTTGAATCGCGTAGGCGATCGCGGACTTGATCGCGCTGCCGAGGATCGTGATGCGAACCGCGATGGAGATCGCGCGGGTATTCGTGCCGGAGAGGCTCGGGAGGCAAATCATGCCGGCGAGCGAGTGGAAATGCGTTTGGGTGAGGAAAAATCGATTAACCCTAGGGTGACGCAACAGGTTATGTGTCCGACGGGGGATTTGGGTTGGCAAGAACGAGGCATCGATCGCGCGATTGAGGGGAGGAATCTTTGAAATCCAGGTCGCGAAGGAAGAGAGGATGGGCGAGGGTTTACGAGGGGAGCTCCCTGGGGCGCTCAAGGGAGAAATTGGAATGGGCTTCGAGGTGAGGGGCGAGGTTTGTTTGTGAATGGTGAGTCTTTGGAGTTTGATGACCGGCGGATTGGGACCGGGTTCCCTGTTCATCGAGGGGGAGAAAGGGGACAGAACAGTAACGTGATAGATAAGGGCAGGGAAAACTGGGAGGGCAGAGGGGTGTTAGAAGAGTTGTTGATTAATGAAGACTGGGTAGGTCTTCGTAAGAGACAGGTAGAGTGTCCTATATTTGGGGGAGAGGATCCAGATGGTTGGTTGTTCCGTATGGAACAATTTTTTTCCATAAATCGGTGTTCGGATAGGGAGAAGCTCATCACAGCGGGAATTTCTTTGGAGGGGGATGCTCTGTCGTGGTTCCAATGGCAGAATGGCCGTAGGCCTTTCCATAATTGGTCGGCGTTTAGGGTCGCTTTGTTGCAAAGATTTCGCTCCTCGCAAGAGGGCAATCTTTGCGAGAGGTTTTTGGCAATAAGGCAGGGGGGAACGGTAGCCGATTACCGTAGACAATTTGAGGTTTCCGCAGCCCCATCAAGGGATGTTCCGGAGGAGGTATTGGAGGGAATTTTTGTTAATGGACTCAAGGCACCGATTCGGGATGAGGTGAGGCTCCTGAAACCGGTGGGGCTAGGGGAAATCATGGAGATTGCCTAGAGAATTGAGGAAAGGAATGATTTGCTGCGTGAAAGAGTTGAAGCCAGTTTTTCCCGACCATAATTTCATAGTACTCCGAGGGCTGAGGCTTCTCAAACTTTGGTTAGGTCGGTGCCGGTAGTGGAGCGGCCACAGCGAAATCCTGCATTGCTAGAGAAAACGGCAACACAAAGAAGGGATTTTCCATTCTGTAAGCTTTCTGATTCTGAGTTGCAGGAAAAGAGGGATAAAGGACTTTGCTTTAGGTGCGATGAGAAGTTCACCTTTGGCCATCGTTGTAAGAAGAAGGAGCTGCGGATAATGTTGATTAGCGATGAGGATGCAACCGACTATGAAGAGGATGATCCAAATTTGCCATGCTCAGATTGGGAGGAGGGGCAGCCGAACTTATTGAGTTGTCTTTGAACTCCGTGGTAGGGCTTTCCACGCCAAAGACAATAAAGCTCAGGGGCACAATTGCTAAACAAGAGGTAATAGTATTAATTGATTCCGGCGCAACTCATAATTTCATTTCATTAAGTTTTGTGGAGAGAGTTATGATTCCTATTGCACCTACTGCTGGGTTTGGGGTACAATTGGGGACGGGAGAGTCAGTAAAAGGGAAAGGAATATGCAAGGAGGTAGCATTGACATTAGCACACTTGACCGTAGTGGAAAATTTCTTACCGCTTGAATTGGGGGGGGTGGATGTTATATTGGGCATGCAATGGTTGGAAACGTTAGGTGGTGTGCATGTCAATTTGAAATCGCAGATTATGAAATTCAGGGTAAGAGGAGAGACGGTTACATTGAGGGGTGATTTGAGTCTCTCCACCGCAATGATCTCTCTTAAGGCCATGTATAGGACCACCAAACATGAGGGCCATGGCATCTACTTAGAACTAAGTGCCCTGGATGCTAACAGTGGACCATATTTGGGGACATTGGGAGAGTTGGATCAGAAATTCCAGGGGGCTGTGAGTGCGATCTTGCAGCGACATTCGAAGGTTTTACACATGCCGGAAGGGCTTCCTCCCCAACGAATGCGGGATCATCGCATTATTCTTCAGGAGGGGACCGCCCCTATTAGTGTTCAGCCTTATAAGTACCCTCATTTTCAGAAGAATGAGATTGAGAAATTGGTGAGGGAGATGCTTTCGGCGGGGATTATACAGCTAAGTAGCAGCCCATTTTCCAGCCCAGTTCTTTTAGTAAAGAAAAAAGATGGGAGTTGGAGATTTTGTGTGCATTATTGGGCACCTAACAAGGCTACGGTTCCCGATAAGTTTCCCATTCCGGTTATTGAAGAGTTATTGGATGAATTGAGTAGGGCCACCATCTATACCAAATTGGATTTAAAATCCGGTTATCACCAAATTCGGATGTGCAAAGAAGATATTCCGAAAACAGCCTTTCGGACGCATGAAGGACATTACGAGTTTTTGGTTATGTCCTTTGGGTTAACCAACGCTCCAACCACTTTTCAATCCCTTATGAATGAGGTATTGAAACCTTTTTTGCGAAAATTCATTTTGGTATTCTTTGATGACATTTTGTTTATAGTAGAACTCTTGAAGACCACATCAACCATTTGGATGTCGTTTTGTCTGCCTTGGAGGACAACCACTTATATGTGAACCAAAAAAAATGTATTTTTGCTAGTGGCAAGTTGGAGTATTTGGGCCACATTGTCTCAAGAAATGGGGTGGCAGCGGATGTGAGCAAGATTCAAGAAATGGTAGATTGGCCTACACCTTGTTCTATCAAGGAGTTGCGGGAGTTTTTGGGGTTAACGGGCTATTATCGGCGGTTTGTTTCGGGCTATGGGCACCTTGCTTGGCCACTTACGCAACAGCTAAAGAAAGACAACTTTCATTGGACTAGCGAGGCGGAGGATGCTTTTCAGAAATTGAAGCGGGCCATGACCACAGTCCCGGTTTTGGCACTGCCTGATTTTGGCTAGCCATTTGTAGTAGAATCGGATGCGTCCGGATTTGGGATTGGCGCAGTCCTTATGCAACATCAGCGGCCCATTGCTTACTTCAGTCAAGTTTTGTCATCACATACTCGAACGAAATCACTTTATGAGCGCGAGCTCATGGCTGTGGTCCTCGCCATTCAGAAATGGTGTCATTACTTATTGGGGCATCATTTCATTGTTCGAACGGATCAAAGGAGTCTAAAGTTTTTGTTGGAGCAGAGATTAATCAGTGAGGACCACCAAAAGTGGTTGTGTAAGTTGTTGGGATACGATTTTGAGATCCAATACAAGCTGGGATCTGAAAATCGGGTGGCTGATGCACTATCTAGGCCGCCGTCGGGGTTGGAATTGGCCCATCTTACCACTTCGGCCGTATATGATGGGGCTGAAATTTGTCACCAAATCCAGAAGGATCCTCGGTTGGCCGCTATTCGAGCTGCTCTTGTGGCTAATTCCGCAACGGTGAAAGGATTTTCATTGTGTAACGGCATGTTGTTGTATAAGGGGCGGGTGGTCATACCCAGGCATTCTTCTTTCATACCGACCCTATTGGCTGAGTTTCAAGGTAGTAAGATTGGGGGCCACTCGGGGGTATTAAAGACCTTTAAGAGGTTGTCTTCTGAATTTTTCTGGTATGGCATGAAGCGGGATGTGTTGTCCTTGGTGGCTGCTTGTTCGGTGTGCCAGCAGAATAAGACCTCTACTTTGTCTCCCGGAGGGTTGCTGCAGCCGTTACCTCTTCCGAGCTTAATATGGGATGATATCTCCATGGATTTTGTGGAGGGTCTTCCGAAGTCAGCCGGTCATGATTCTATTTTGGTGGTGGTGGACCGGCTTAGTAAGTATGCCCATTTTTTGGCCCTATGTCATCCGTTTTCGGCAAAATTGGTGGCTGCACTGTTTGTTCGGGAGGTGGTCCGGCTCCATGGGTTTCCTCAAACCATTGTGTTCGATCGCGATAAGGTTTTTCTCAGTCATTTTTGGAAGGAGCTTTTTCGTTTGTAGGGGACCTCATTGCATCACAGTACGGCTTACCATCCTTAATCGGATGGTTAAACAGAGGTGGTTAACAGGTGTTTGGAAGCTTATTTACGTTGCTTTGTTTCCGAAAACCGAATCACTGGTTTTCGCACCTTGCTTGGGCTGAATATTGGTATAATACGAGCTTTCACGTCTCCGCGGGGATAACTCCTTTCCGTGCGTTGTATGGCTGTGATCCGCCCAAGTTAGTTCATTTTGAGTTAGGCTCTACAGCTAACTCCTTATTGGAACAACAAATGCAGTCCCGGGATGACATTTTGGACGAGCTTCACGCGCATTTGTTCCAGGCCCAACAGGCAATGAAGGCGCAGGCGGATCTTAAAAGAAGGGACGTGTCTTTTGAGGTAGGGGATTTGGTATTTTTGAAACTTAGGCCATATCGCCATCGTTCCTTAGCCAAGTTCTCCAATGAGAAACTCTCCCTTAGGTTTTATAGGCCCTACAAGATTCTCATGCGTGTCGGATCCGTGGCGTATCGGTTGCAACTACCCGCGGTTGCGAAAATCCACCCGGTTTTCCATGTGTCGCAGCTTAAGAAGGCCATCGGCCTGTCTTTACCGGCTCAAGAGGTTCCGCGGATCTTAACGACTGACATGGAGTTGCACGTCGAGCCGGAGAAGCTGTTGACCACTCGATTTTCCCCGGTCTCGGGGCTGTTTGAAGTGTTGCTACAGTGGCGTCATTTGCCTGACTTTGAGGCTTCGTGGGAACTTTTTGATGTTATTCAACAACAGTTTCTAGAATTTCACCTTGAGGACAAGGTGACTTTTTTGGGGGGGCGGAGTAGTTGATAAGGGCAATAAGCCGTTATTAAAGCAAGTGTATGTGAGGAGAGGTAATAAAGTGTGACGTGGACTTATTAGTATTGTTAGTGTTAGTATTGTGGTTTGTGTACAGTGCGGGGGGGGGGGGGGGGGTGTTCTGGGCTTACTGTGTGTATGTAGAGAGGTATAAATAGGCCAGAGTTGGATTAATGAGGCAGGAAATAACTGGAGTTGTAAAAGGAAAACTTGGCTAAGGCTGAGCAGGGAAAAGGGAGTCCTTCGGTAGTATGTAATTCTCTCTGTGATCAATAAAGATTTCTTCTTTCATTCTTTTGATCATTTCAGGCGTAAGAATTGCATTGTTCTTATCAGAATCAAATGACTCAAATCTTGCACTCACAAGTGCATTTAGCAGTTTTCTAATTATCTCTTAATATTGTTTTATGTAAAGTGTACTTGTTATGACCGAAAAATTTATCATAATTATTGTATGAGATAAAATTTTTTGAAATCCTTTATATTATCAATATGAATATTTTTATGATAAGTAATTGTTGATATAAATATGGAATAGCAAGTTATAAGCTAAAGTTCAGAAATTTCTAAGGCATGATGCAGTTACTGATTTTCAGACTGTATTTAAGAATGAGGTACGGAACACTGTGTTAAACCCACAAGTGGGTAGACACATGAATATTAAGGTTAAGAAATGGAAAAGAATGGAAAAACATCAATTCTAGTGTTTTAGAAACAAACGGAACGAAAAACATATGAAAAAGAGGTTCGGAGAGCCTAACCGAGAAAATTGAGGTTTTCGACTGAATAGGGTTGACCAAGTCAAAATTTATTGACCAATAGTTGATTAATAAGTGACCCTTGAAAGGATAGTCAAGGTTGAACAAAGTTGACTTTGTTGACTAATTGTCCAAAAACGCAAGTAAAACGCGTACCCGATAGGAATTAAACTGAACCAAAATAAAATAGTTATTAGAAATGGACAGTTGAGATTTAAGATGAAAAATTAGATTAAGAGCTGAGATTGAGGCATGTGGAACGCATGGTGGCCGGCCAAGCTTAGTGAAGAAGGAAAGAAAAGATATTTTTGGTGAAATTTAGTGAAATTTTGCAAAAGGGTCCCTCAAAAGTGTCAAAATTACATTTTAGTTCTCCCACTTTATTTAGTCTAATTTTTAAGAGATAAAAATACCACCAAATGTTCATTTTTTATGCTAAGAACAGAGAGAACTTAGCCAAAGAGAAAGGAAGAAAAAAAATTCACCCAAGTGAGAAAAACGAGTTTTCATCAAAATTGACGGAACGACACCGCTAGTTCGCATCACTAAGGATTTCTCTTCATTCTCTAAGGTAAATTTTGGTTTTCTTTTCACTTTTTTCTACCTTGGCTGCACGTTTTAGTATGGGGAAAAGCGTGAAAAAATTTTGCTTAAGATGATGATTAAGCTTTGTGGTTATTAAGAACTTGAAAATCTAGTGATTAAGGAGGAATTTTAGGTTAATTGACTTTTGTTTCTAGAAATTCTTGGTAAGGTGAATTTTTGTGAAAATATGGAGAAACCCTATAATTGTGATGTTATTGAAGATTAAATGGAATGAGAATGAATGTGGTTGCTGTTTAAAGGTGGAAAGGTGGAAACAACGAATAAAACGGGCTAAGGTTAGCTCGGGAAACCTAAAAAAAAATAGGCAGAACTCTGTCGAAATTTAGTTTGAGTATTTTGAACTAAAACCGGTTTTTATGGGGAATAAGGAATTAAGATGTGAAAAGCAAGTCGATTCGATAATCGGCGATGTATAGAAACCGAACACAATTAGAAATCACAGTTTTAGACCAAAACTGAAAACTAGGCCCATGACTGAGGAAGGTGCACGGTTTTTGTGCATATTCTTGAGATAGGAAATATTTCGGGATTGAATACCAAACATAGGGATTGTAGACCTTTCCGAATTAAATTTTAATGCAATTATTGATCATAGATTTTGAATCTAACAATTGGAAATTTATGCAATAGGATCGATTAATGATCGAAGTCGGAAAGCATCAAGTGAGACAAATGACGTAACATTAGCAAAACTTCTGTAAGTATCAGTAGTTTTTTTTGTCTACAACGCGAATAAATTTATTTCTCTATGTTGCTCAATCTGAGCATATTGTAGACTAAATGTATGCTAGAATGTGAAAGATGACTCCTGAATGTTAGATACAATATTATGCATGTATCTACAAGACTTAAGTAGCAGTAGACTTTTATTCTACGAAAAACATGTATCGACGTCAAGTCGAGGTAAAGTTAAGAGAAAAAGTTAAACTTTAACGAAAAGTCAATCTCATGATAAATTGCTCAAAGATGCATAAAGTCATAAGATTTAACTAAAGTTGTCGTTTTAATGAGAAAAATTGATAATGGTAAGAGATCAAACATCATGTTTGTACTGGCCTTTGAAAGAAAGGTTATCATGAGACTATGAAAGAAATGAAACTATAACTAAGCTGGATTAGTTAGCTACCGTACTCCTCATTGGTTATGCGCGCTATGGTACAACAGGACAAGGCCCATAAGAAGTAAAAGACAAGAAAATGAAAAACAGAAACCGGTCCATATATATAAGGGTACGGTATCTATAAAGAAGAATGAAAAGAATAAAAAATACAATATGGAAGTCGTTCAGAATGTGAAAATTCAATGTGAACAATTAAAGAGAGACGAAAACTGAACAAAGTGTATAATGAAAGAAGAAGAATATAAGCCATACATGTCCTAGTACTACAGAGTGTCTTAAGATATATGACATGAATGCATATATGGGTATGCATAACTACTACATCTATTATGACCTATTGTTACTTGTTGAGCGAAAGCTCATTAAGTTTGTTCGTGTTATAGGAAGCTCGGGTAAGGCACCGGCTCCCTGAAACTTGTTGTTGGGCATGCAGAGAGGATGTAGCAGTGGAGTATGGGCAAGTGGGTAGTAGACGTATCACGTGTTTTGAAAACGCTGCTGAGCTTTATGTGTATAAAGTGAATAATGTTTTATGAATATAGATGAGTTATGTAACAAAAGTTGAGTTTACGAGACAGTGAGGCTATACATAGCAATCTCAAGTCATAAGGTACGATTAATGTATCTAAATGCTATAGCATTAATGGAATGCATAGCAAAATGCTACGGCATTAAGACGTATGAATGGAAAAAAAAAAATTTGTCTGAATTTTTAAGAGGTTATAATTAGAAAGTAGTAGAGGATGAGTAATGCTAAGTATGAACGTAGGTGATCAAAAGTTAGGGTCATCACAGTATTGCTTCCTTCTAAAGATTCTTCTCTGATCTTATCCTATATTCTTTCATCTCTCTAACTTCGTGGTATTAGTATTGTAACACTTAAAAAGTAAGAAAGAAAATTATGTGGATAGAAATACCTGCGGGAACAAAGCAACACCTTTGAGCAAGCAAAGAGATGGAACAATCACATAAAACAAAACTGGCAAGGAAATTGGAGCCCACAGCAAATATATGGAGTACCCCATCTGAGCACCTAATTTGATCCTTCCATGCCCATATATGAAGGGACAATACTTGGATAAAAATATCTGGTACAAGCCTTCAGACCACCTCTTGTTCTGGACAAGGCAGACTTCTAAGGTTGTCGGAGCAACGCCCACGAAAGCTTTTCTTTCTGGATTGTAGTAAACTGATTTCCAACCCCTACATTGGATTACCAAACCAGTAACAGCATCTTCAACTGAAAAACCATACACCAACCCCATCTGTACATATTCAAGAAATAGAATGTCACCACTAGAACTAAGATTTCGAAAAAGCGACGAGACTTAAAAGAATTTACCTCTTTTCCCCATTGTGTATCCTTCTCATAGCTACAACTAGTAAGCACTTTTAACGATTCTTCCAAATCATTAACACTTTTGCCCTCGTTCTTTTTGGCCTCTATGTTCCATTGAACTCTATGACCCTTCGAATACTTCTTTCCACTAAGACTTTCTCTCCGATGGAAGCATCCGGTGCCGCAGTACGGAGTTGCACCATATCCACCCATTCCAGCAAACTCAAGCTTTGAAGTAAGAGTGAAAAATAAAAATAAAAATAATAACATTCAGCTCCATGATCAAATGTCTACTTTTAGTAATTGAAACAAAGGCCAGCCTAGTTCCAGTTATTTTATCATCTTTTTAAGTAAACAATGAGAGAAGACAAACTTACATCAAAAGTCAATAATATTATATTTTTTTGTTACCTCTTGAGTTACATAGAAAGCACTCCCATAAATATCATTCTTGGTCACATTCTTAAAGCTCTGTGGAGATTGCACGAACGCAACCTCGTCGCCTTTCTTTTCATCCATGAAGAAGCACAAGATCTCTCGGATCGTGTCTGCGTTGTTCGAGTGCATATCGCAGTCCAAGTTGAGAATGAAGGGCGCATTGGTTATCTCTGATGATACCCTTATCTGCACATATACAAATATGTGTTCCAAAATTAATGCATTTTTTTTTCATACGTAGTTTTCATATATATATATAT